TTTCATATATTCTTTTCTTATCATTTCAGCTCCAGAAGTGATCAACTTTGAACCCATTAGTCTTTCAACAGACATGTGGTGAGTAAAGGGTTTCTAATTAGTTTTTACTCTAGCTAATGGTAGATGACGAAGATTTAGTTTTAGCCTTAGCATTTTGCTAAGAATTGAATATAATCACTATTTATAGTATTTTGGGATGTTTGGATGCTTATAATTGCTCTATATAGGAATAATTTGTATTGTATCTCACTCCTGCATGAGTTTGAGGAATAAAAAATGGTTTAATAATTCTTCGTTAGCCATAGATATCTGTCTCCATTAACTTATGCATTTCGGTATTTATGTAAGTCATTGGTAAACTAGATTGTCAAATATTTATGATAATATGTTGGGAAATGGGTTTAGAAGCTGGTAGGGCATTAAGGTATAATGAAAATCCCTAAAAAAGGCAGTAGGGTGAGAAGCAAGAACGCTCTTGTTCTTAGAGTGCCTTAAGGTATAATGAAAATCCCTAAAAAAGGCAGTAGGGTGAGAAGCAAGAACATCTAGTGACTCTATACAGTCCATTTGTTATGGAGGATTGAATGTGGTAAAAGGTTTCTGAAGAAGAAATTATTACCTTTTTTTAAAGGATGAATGGTAAAAATAAAACACTGAAGTCGAGAAAAGGAAGACAAATTAAAAATAGAAAAAAAAAATAAACACTGAAGTCGAGAAAAGGAAGACAAATTAAAAATAGAAAAGAAAAAAAATAGAAAATACACACACTAAAATAAAAGATATGAAAGAGAAAGAAAACCCCAAGAAAGGAAGCAGCAAAACAGAAAATACCCGAATATATACAATACCCCCCACTCATTCCCACCTCCTTCTTCCAGGGCAATCGGAGTGCTAACTTACGTTTTCCTGAGTGGCTGCACGCCCTTCGGAGGAGACACTGACCAGGAGACCTTTGTCAACATCACCCAGGCAGAGTTCGACTTCCCGGAGGACCTGTTCGCCGACGTCTCCGAACAAGCCAAAGACTTCATCTGTGGCCTTCTTGTCAAAAAACCGAGGTGGGTTTGATTCCATTTCTCCTGATTAACCCTCGATTCTTTTTTTCTTCACTCGTTCTTACTCATTTCTTTCTTCTTTTTTGACTATATACTGATTCTTTTTCTTACATATTTTCTCTGTATTTTGATTTCTCATTATCATTATTGATTTTTTTTGCCAAAATACTGATATATCTCTTGCTATAATCGGGCATGGAGAAAATTGAAGGCCATGGTGAAATAAGCAGTTTTAAGCTTTTATATTTTTACTTTAAAGAGTCTTGAGGATATTGAACAGAAAACTGGAATTAGACATGTGTGATACTAAAATTCAGTAGGATGAAAAATATTTCTTTTATGATGAATTCAGATCAATTGATGTGCTTAGATTAGTACATAGGAAAATATGTATATATCATCTTTGTTCCTGTATGCTGAACTTTGTGAGTTAATATAGGCTAAGGAATATTATAGAATGACTTATCACTGCATGTTGAATAGATATTCATTAGTAATTGGTGATAGTGGAATAGATATTTATATTTAATTTATTCATATTGGTAATATTTGTCAGGTAGAAATAGAACTATTTAATTCTCTAGTTGAGCATTACTGAATTTTGATTGGGCATTGGCATGACTGGAGTGAAGAATTATTTGATGAATAATTAATCATATTAATGACATACTGGTTTCAAGGGCTACTGATGCAGTTAGTAAATGTCTTGCTATACACCTGTAAAATTGGAGTAAATTTCAGTTTATTATTGCTCTTTGAAATAGAATCTTCGAAATATTTAGAATATGTATTAGTGTATATCAGTGGTTCCCAACCCCATGGTCGCGAGCCATATGAGGGTCGCCAGAGGGTCTGAAAAGAAGAATTAGAGAATCCATAGCTGGATATGTCAGTAAAAGTTAAAGCTTTATTAACACTTGTTTACTGAAATTCACTGTGTTGCTAATATACGCTTATAAAAGTGTAGAATAATGTAAGTTAATATACAGCTGAATGTATAACTACCTTGAAAATGGTTGGATATGTTACTACATGTTCACACATTAGAGTCGCTAGTCTAGGATATGATGTCTTTAGGGTCGCACCCAAAAAAGTTTGGGAAACACTGGTATATATGTTAGTATATATGTATTGTTGCTTTTTATTCTTTACTGGTTCGTTACAAGCTAAAATATTGCTTATGATATGAATATCGTTGCTTGTTGAGTCTAAAGAAAATTAGATTTAGAAGTTACTTTTAATATTAGGTTCTTCAAATTACTGAACTGTTTCAAATAAACATTTTGATTATACTACAGTATTGAATTATTTGATATCTTAAATATCATACTTAAATATCATTTGACTTATGCATCTTTAAAAAAATGGGAAATTCCCAATTTAGTGATTAATTGAAAGGAGAAAGATCTTTATTTTGTTTATTGCCTCAATGTAGATACTTAAAATCAATAGTCAGAGCTATGTGTGTCAACTGACGGATTTAGTTTGCCATAACGGCTATAATTTTTTGACTTGCATTGCTAGTGCCATTTTAAGTCATGCTTGGAGATTAGAACATATATGGCAAAAATAAACTGTTTTGAATTGTTGTTTCCTAATGATCGTATAATTTTGATACATTCTAAAAAAAGGCATTTTATAATAATATGTTTTGACTAATACAATTTTGCTTGCATTAACCATATCTGAAATTAATAAAATAATGTCTTCTCTTACAGTGACAGACTTACAGTTGATGATTGTCTTAACCATGCATGGATGACTGCACCTTTGACTCCAGTTCATGCATCTATTCTGACTGAACCATACACCGAAGACACTGAAGAGCCAACAGACTTCCACAATGGATATGAAGACAACTACACCTCGAACGATCACCTGTACCCCTTGGCTGAAACTGACCATGCTGACTCAGCTTACTCTAGTGACTCAAGCAGCAGTCCCACATTCACAGAAGGATACAGCTCGCTGGTTGTGCCTCCGCTGTGCCACTGTACCATCCCAGAAGAACAGCAGCAGCAGCAACAGATACAGCAGAGCCAGAAGCAGAGCCGGAAGCAGATACAGATTGGTGCCTCAGCCACTCTTGGGAGGAAGCAGGGGCGCAAGGGTCATCGCCTGAGCGTAGACATGGAAGACACACTACGCTCACTACACCACCCCCACCCCATCCGTGCGACGAGAAGGGCATCACTCGTTATTGATGATCCTCGCTACCTCCACGAGGCAACCCAACACCTCCATGAAATCGTCAGGCCCTTGGCAGAAACAACACGACCCCTGCCTGAGGAAGGGATTGTCACCCGTGATTCTGATGTCGACAGTGGTGTGTCCTGCCATGACTGTGAGGATTCCCGGGTGGAAAACCCAAGACTGTGTCACTCCGATTCCTATGATGGAGGGGATGCAGCCAGTGTTGTGTCCTGGGATGACTACTCAGACCTTGGAGGTAGGAGGCCTTCTCTCACGCATTTTGACCATGCTACCCTGTGCTCTGTGGCTAAGCCCTGGGAGAAGTTATGCACCGGTTCTGTGTCACGAGCCATTACACAGCTGACCGTGAAAAAGGTTTCAAAGTCTTCCGAACTCAGAGGATCCAAAGCTGACCTTAGGGGATCCAAAGCTGATCTCCGAGGATCACGTACCGACCTTCATGTTTCCAAATCTGAACTGAGGGCATCAAAGTGTGATCTCAGGGCATCAAAATCAGATCTTAGGGCCTCTAAGTCAGATCTCAGATCATCAAAGGCAGAGATGAGGGCTTCCAAGTCAGATCTAAGGGCATCCAAAGCAGATTTAAGGGCATCGAGGCAGGACCTTCGTGCATCAAAATCAGACCTGCGAGCCTCGAGGTCAGATTTACGAGCCTCAAAGTCAGACTTACGAGCTTCCAAATCCGATTTACGAGCTTCGAGAAGTGACCTCCGGGCATCAAGATCAGACCTCCGCGGCTCGAGGACAAACCTTACTCTGTCTAGGCTGGACCTTGCACACGAGACACTAGACAATGATTGTGTGCTCGAGGATGAAGCCGAGGATGTGCTACGCGGAGATCTTACACTTCCAAGGCGCAGTAACCTAGACAGAACAGCCCTCGCCCCGTTTATGAGGGGCAATTCCTTACATATGAGTTTCAGGCTGCCCAAGCATCGGGATGTGCGTATTTGATGACACCTACAAACTATAACATCCCCTCCATGTGTACTTAATATACAATGATGCTAATATGTTCTAGTCATAACTTATGCAGGATGTGAGGGTTGGTAATCACAGATAATGAAGAACCTGATTAATACTGCTATTTGAGCATCAAGGTAATCCCTAAACAGTTAGATTGTCAGCTGCCAAGTAACCAAATATATAACAAGGACTAGACCATTTGACTAGCCCTAAATCATAGTCATATTTCTAAGTAACTGAGACTTCTGCAAACAAGAGCCACATCAGGGGATTGATTCTCTGCTTGTTGGCTTCTGGAGCTGGTCTCTGAAACGTATTATTCCTTGGTGAATATATGAATCAAAGAAGAGACAATATGCGTCATTATTGACTGTTGAAAAAGATGAGTTATTCAGACCACATACATTATCCTATTTTCCTTTTCTCTCTTTTCCTTATTTTCTCCTTTGTTTCCATTCTTCTGGATATCCTTATATGTATACTAGTGTTGGATAACTGTCGGATAGTCATGTATTACAAGCCATGAGATGTAAACACCTCTTTTTCTTATTACAAATAAGGAATACAATAGCCATTGATTCAGCCTAGGTTGTTTACTAATCATGGCAGATGAGAGGCTTCAATATTACCACAACTTGTGTTCGTATGGGCTCCTCCAGCTGAGCTCTGCAGTCATCCATGCTGGAGGCATTGTTGGAGACGGAACTCCCGAAGAAGCAGCAATTAAGACTGAAAATTGCAATAACATTTCCACGTGAAAACATTCCTGTGTTGTTGGTGTGCTATTCTGTTAAATGAAATGCATTAAATACCTATTATATTAGCTGATACCTAACTGTATTCCCTTTTGGCATAGCAACAGAATTTGTGTTTAATAATTGTTTTTTTTTTAATTTGACAAGAAATCTGTAGAGAATTTACAGCAGTTTTAGCTTCCTGATTTGCACTCGTTAACAGGAAGAATCACACAGGTGCTATAGCTTGTAAAGTTCTCTCACAATTCTATATATTTTTATCTGTTTACCTTTACTTTTATTTATAAGTTTAATTCCCAAATACTTGTATGGCTTTATCACAAATAAGATGAGTTCTTATAAGTGTTTTTTATTTTCCAATTATGTGTTACAATTACACATCTATTGAAAATAATCCATTTATTATGTGAAAGAGGAATATATGATGATGTTAAATTCACTGAGTAGGTGAGTGTATTATATATATATATATATATATATATATATATATATATATATATATATATATATAATATATAATTATATATATATATATATATTATAATATATATATATATATACACACACACACACACACACACACACACAACACACACACACACACACACGCACGCACGCACGCACGCACGCACGCACGCACCCACACGCGCACGCACACGCACACGCACACCCCCCCCCACACACACACGTACGCACGCACACATATATGTATGTAATATATTTATATATATATATATATATATATATATATATATATATATAGAGAGAGAGAGAGAGAGAGAGAGAGAGAGAGAGAGAGAGAGAGAGAGAGAGAGAGAGAGAGAGAGATAGAGAGAGATCCATCTGATAGGCTGATGGATATATATATACTATCTCTCTCTCTCTCTCTCTCTCTCTCTCTCTCTCTCTCTCTCTCTCTCTCTCTCTCTCTCTCTCTCTCTCTCTTTGACACAGTCGGATATTTTGATACATAGATAATTTTCAAATTTTATTTATCGAAAAAGTACATCCATTTGACTGTTAAAGAAGTGATGCAAGAAAAAAACAAACAGATACAGGTTTCGTTATGTACAGTATATATTCTGAACTCATAGTTGTGTTCATATGACTAGATAACTATAGACTGAACAGAAAAATCAGTAACATACACTATTTCAAATCACAAAAAAGCTATGACATTGATAATTCAAACATAATTTTCAACCATCACCAATTAGTAACAATAAAGGTGCTATATGATAATCAGAACTTATATGTATTACTTCCTATAAGGAGTAAAAAAAAAAAAAAACATTTTACAAAGAAAAATTAACCTAGTTTACTGTTAAAAGGTCTAGACACAAATGTAATATATGACTGATATATATGTATATACATATACACTATATATACACACATATACACTGTCTCTTCAACAAGTGACAAACTCAAGATATTCACTATCAACAGTTATAAAAAAACCATGTAACTGAAGTATAAAGTTTACAGAATGACAATGTATCAACACTGAATTCCGTATGCAGTAATACTACAATATGTGAAACTTATATTTACTGAATCCAATGGCAAATTCTCATACCATAATCAATGCTTGGTTACAAATATTCAAGAAAAGAGTATTTCGCTAATCTTTTAGGCTGAACCTTCATAATGAATTATTGCACGAACAAAGGATGAATACCAAAAGATAAAATCCTTTTCTAAATACATTGTATGTATTTATACGGAAATCCAATTGTAATCATATGACATTTCTATAGCCACTGACTACCACCAATAAAATTCTAGCTAATGCCAAGTAAAAGAGTGACTCGAATCTCTCAGTAGTCAGGCTCTGGCACATAAGGCGCTGCTGAAAGGTCGTAATCGGGCGTCGGCGAGTGGCGCGAACGACCTCTTGAGCGGCTTGGCTGTCGAGCTTGTCTCTCTGTCGTTGGATCCATTTTCGTCGTTGGCAAAGGGGACTTATTGGGCCTTTGCTGATTCGAAGCGTGCTGCGAACTCTGGGGCTTCGATCTCCTGTGGGAGGGAGGGGGCCTTCTCTGCCTTAAAGTGGCGTCGTCACTACTCGTATCAATGTCTATGTGGGGAGCTCGTCTGCCGGCATGTCGCGGGGGTTCCCTGGGGTGAGGAAGTCTCTCTCTGTGGTTCTGCATTTCACCGTGTGGCTGCTGCCCGTTCGTGATCTTCATGCGAGCAAGTGGAAGACCGAGATGGTCTCTGTGGCTGGGAGATTGCTGGGGGCGTGAGGCAGGAGATCGAGCATATCTTGAAGGGGAAGGAGACCTGTCGGCACGAGCTCTTCTGGGCGAGGGGGAGCGGCTGAAACGAGTGGGGGGAGACTGGTGAGGGTAGGCAGGAGAAAGCGAGCGGCGATAACCAGGAGATGGAGAACGATGACGAACTGGGGATGGAGAACGACGATAACCGGGAGATGGAGAGCGGTGGTAATTGGATCGGCGATAGGAAGGAGACGGAGAGCGGCGACGATACACGGGAGACGGAGAACG